GTAGGATACATACATTTTATTGTTTCTCATTATATTCCAATTTTTTAAAAAAGTATTTTAACTATATTAATGCTTACGTATAGATGTGCCCCCAAAGCCTTACGCACTGCCAGGTGGGGCTTTCGGGCATGACTGGATCATGGGTGTGTGATGGTGGGTAATGGCAGTGTGGTAACTGTACTAGTTGTAGCCTAAATAGAACACAAGGGGAAAGGGAGGTTTACTGCTATTGCTTTTTTTCTACCTGCCCTGCCACGGACGTTTCTCCTCTGCCATGCTGCCCTGCCTTGGAGCCAGGTGACTATGGAATGAAATTCCTACAAGCTGTGAGCCAACATGAACCTTTCCTCCTTTAACTTGTGGAGGATGAGTATTTTGTCCCAGCAACAAGAAAGTACCTAAGACAAACTAAAAACAGGCTAAATGAATGCAAAGGAAAGGACACGATAAGTACTTAGATAATAAAAAGGAACAAGACATGGTAATTAACTAAATGCAGGTCAAGATAGGGACAGGGAATCCAGGATGACTTTCAGAAACTTAACTTGCATGACTATATGATCTGTGTTTCTTCTGAGATATGGAAACACAAAATGGATGGGTGGGTAAGATAAAGAATGAGTGTAAGAACCTCAAGTTTTAATAAACTGAGTTCCAGGGCTTAAGGGTTCTCTGATCAGATGAAAAGACTCGGAGGAAAAGTCTGGATTTGAGGAATAATTAATGTATAACTGTTAAATCTAGATAAATATACCTGGAAGGTACTGGACAAGTGTTTTTCAACTTTGGTGGTATACAGGGGTGGGGGACAAAATTGGCACTTGACAGAACAATTCTCCACCGTGTGGCAATTGATCTTCCTGGCCCTCTGGACTGGGACTAAAAGGGGAGAAGAAAATCTCCTTCAGATGAGCAGCACTTGAACAGTAAGAAACATCATAGGTCAAGGACAAAACCTGAGGAACATCACCTTGTGATTTACAACTAAGGATAATGAGAAAAGCCACGAAGGTATGAGAATCGTTATTAGAGCACTCAGATGATAACACCTGAGCAAGACTGCAAGAAAAAAAAGAATGGTAAAGCGTTCATTTTCTTAAGAGTCAGTTTAAGAGGACTAAAGAATACTCAATGTACTTGCCCATGAAGAAGTTATCAATGTAGTTTCAGAGAACTGTTATACAGAATTCAAATTGGCATGTATGGGATTAAATTGAAGGTGAGGGAATGTCAAAGAGGTTGAAAAAGAATAAAAGTGGAGTAACAATCAGAACACCTCATTCTTTGAGAAAAGAGGTAAGGGTTGGAGATTTAGCTCAGCAGCACAGCACTTGCCTGGCAAGCACAAGGTCGTGAGTTCGATTCCCGGTACCGGGGGGGAACAAAACCAAAAAAAAAAAGACATGAGCCTTTAGGGAATTGATAAGTACAAGATATTCCATGAATTTCCCACCAAAAGCCTTTAAACCATATTAACAATGCAAAGCAAAACCACAACTGGAGAAGGGATGTTTGTGTGTGTGGCACAGTTCTGGAAAAGCCATTGGGAGGAACAAAACAAAGCTGACTAAATTCAAATACAAGGGTTAACAGAGTCAAATGTAAAAGACACAAATAATAATGAAAACTCATAATTTGTAGAGATACCAATGTCACAGCTGCATGATTTCTCCCAGTTCTAGTGACCCGTAATGAGTGGTGATTTTTAGAGCAAATAAAAATCCACCCTATGTTGGTGACAGAGTGGAAGGTAGGAGTAAAAGTTCAAGAGCTCAACTAGGATCTTGCTTAGGAAAAAAAATAAAAAGAATGACAAAGTAATACAAATTAATTAAGTAGCAATATAGGAGGCATTTCAGAGGGAGAAGAATCCCAAGTGATGATCAGGTTCAGTATGTGTCCGTGAAGGAAATCAGAATTTACAAAAGTCAAAGTAGATGATAGAAAATAAAATGATTTTACAAGAGAATAATTCTGAATTATGCCAGTTCCCTAATAAGTGGAAGAGACTGATCCATAAGCCATTAAATAGCTGATAATGAGAGTAGAGGACAATAAAGATGGTGAAGTCTCAAAGGAGGGATTTTTTTAAACTGTTAACTTAGAAATTATACATGATTACAGGTTACTATGTACTATTTCAATACATATAAATATTGTGTAATATTCACCAAGGTAAATATGTCTGTTTCCTCACACACTTTTTAAATGATAAAAACAATCAAAATCTCAAATTTCTTTATGGTGAAAACACTCAAAATCTTTTCTATCTTAAAAAAATATATTACATCATTAGTCTTAGCTATTGTCACCCTATCATCCTATTCTAACAGGACACTAGAACACCCTTCTCCAAACTATAGATGAGTATTGGCGCAGTCAACCTCTCTGTCCCCTCTCCCCCTCTTCTTATTCTCTCCAGACTCTAGTGGCCACTATTCTACTCTCAACTTCTGTGAATTTACACTATCCATATGAGTGAGAGCCTAGAGAGAGAGATTTTTACATGAAGGATGGTCACCTGAAATAGCAAGTTTTTAAAAAGGGAAGAAAAAAATTAAAAAGAGAGAAGAGAAAGAAAACAAGACAAGACAAAAGGCAGCCCTAGAGGTAACAGGAAAGTAAGAGAGAACACCTTCAACACGGCAGGACTAAAAGAGTGTGGCTTTGGGAAAGCGGAAGAGCCCAGTAAGGAACATGAGATGGATCTAGTTTTTAATGAAGAAGTGAGTGTTTTTATACATACACAACACACACACGTGTGTGCTTATATACTTATGTACAGACACTCTAGCCAAAGATATAAGTACTCTTATTTTATAGATAAGGAAACTGAGGTTCACGATTAAATAACTTCCAGTCGTGCTGTCAGTGAAAGGGCGGAACTCGCATTCATACTCCCATCTGTATTCACTGTGTGAACGCTCACTTTTTACTATGGTTATTAAATTTATTATATTACCTTTCTGTTAGTTCATGCTCTAGCCTAGGTGATCAATTCCCCTCAAAGAACAAATTTAGTTTTTACTTTCATTCTGTTTATGCCATTATCTCTGAGTGAAATGCTCTCCCCACGTAAGAAGCCCCTGACATCTGTCTAAAACTCACCTCATCACCACATAACTGCACGGCTTGGTTCCACTTTGCACCAGACACCCTCAACACTCCACTGATTTGTACCTGCTACATTTTCTGTGCAGGCTGTCCACTTGAATTCATAGGTATTTCTTCCCAACTAGTTTACTAGTACCTTGAAGACTGGAACTATTTCTAATATTTACTTTTTATTTTTTCATTATACCCAAGCAAAATCATTGTATCGGGCACACTGTGGATAAACAATAAGGTTCATGGTTCATAAATAACAGATGAATATATGCACACATACTTAAAAAGCAAACATAAATGTTATTTTTCTAAATACATGAAGATATTTTTAGTAAAGGTATAAAAAGTAGTAAAGTAACAAAATATTAAACAAGGAAGACAGGCAAAGAGCTACATGAATTAAAAATACTCTCTAAAGAAAGGTACATATGGGGCTGGGGATTTAGCTCAGCGGCAAAAGCGCCTGCCTGGCAAGCGCAAGGTCGTAAGTTCGGTTCCCGGTGCCGGAGAAAAAACAAAAACAAAAAAAAAAAAATAAAGAAAGGTACATAAAAAATATGAGGAAGAATGTTACTATCAAATTGGCTTTAGATCTAAGTGCAAAGGCTTTTTCTGTTACAGACATAATTGAAGACTCCAACAATTAAGTACTTTTTTGTTTTCATTCTAAAGACACTGCCTAAAAATAAAGTAGAGTTGTAGTTAGGTCCTAGTTGCTACAATTTACTATAGCTACAACTGTTTTGTTTTGTTTTGTTTTACTTTTTTTGCTACCAGAAATAGAACTCAGAACCTTGCACTTGCCAGGCAGGCACTTATACCACTGAACTGTATCCCTGGCCCTATAGCTACAACTTTAGACAGTGTCTTCTATGAAATTCCTTTTCAGAATAAATGTATAAAGTATCCAGGTTATTACAGATATTAAAGTATTTTCACAATAGAAACACAAACATTCTCTATAGCTTTACATGGCACACACTTTGAGTTTAGCATCAGCATTTATAATACACACCAAATGAGGTGTATACCTTTTTATGTTGTGTCTAGCTCACTGATATTTAATTTATATGCACTTGTTCAGTAACAAAACTGTTCCCAGAAAAGACTGAAAAGGTAAGAGATGAAATCAGTTAAGGTGAAGTCAAACAAAAATGAGCATCTGTATTCTGCTAAAACTTACTTTCAGGCCAAAACAGAAATTAGTATCTACTGAAGTATATATTTTAAAAGAAGATGCTTCACATTTAAAAAGTACCAGAATGACATCAACTTAAGAAATACATATGTCTTCTGGGTCATTTCAATCTTTTACAAGTACTACTGCAAGAAGGAAGCTTTTCTTAAAAAAAAAAAAAAATGCATGTAATCTAATGCTTCCTGAACATTTTTGCCTCCTGACAGTTGAAAACTATTTATCAATATCCTTTAGGTAAACACTAATTCTAATGATTCTCTTCCTCTTTTAATCAGACTATCAAGAGCTCTCCTCAACATAGATACTTAAGTGTATTTTACTAGAGAAACAAACTCAAAATGATCTAACACATAAGTAAACACACTACTTTAAAAGTTCAGGATCAGTGAAATAAAGTTAAAGTCAAGTCTTGCATATACATATGAGATACATATATACATACATACACACACACAATCTTACAGCAGTGGAGTCTTGGCTAAAATAAAAGGTTCCAAACCTTATAACTAAATACTTTTTACAACTTTTCCTCAAAGAAACAAAAAAACAAATACTGAACTCTCAAATTAAATGTGCTCAATAAAATAATACTTTACTTTTAGCCTAGTCTTCCTACATAAGCCACCAAATTTAAAACATAACTCATAATTCAAGTTCTAAAACAGCATAGTGTATACACACGAATTTTACTTACCAAGTCATATATCTGGTTTGCCAGCTGTACTTTCTCATCTGCATCTTCCAAAGCTTTATAGTAGTCCTGAATAAAAATATCATCATTTCAAGAATTAATAATTATGAATATGCATGTAAGGATATATAACTGCATTTTCATTACCATACCTTGTTATCATTGTCATCCTAACATTAGTAATAAAATGCCTCTTAGAGCTAGGGTATAGTTGAAGAAAGAATCAGAAATTATAGACAATGACCAAGAATTAAAGCAATGTGTTCTGTGTTCTTAGAAAAGATTATATATTCCAAGTCTAGTTTTACTAGAGCAAGTTATGTGAGCTAATGAATAGTATTTCAAAGAAAAAAAAGTGTTAATCAAGATTTATCTAATTTGTAAAGCACATTTACGTTCTATTCAAAAAAAAATTTTTTTGTTTTTTTTTTTTTTGAGACAAGGTCTAGCTATGTGGTTCAGACTGGCCTCAAACACACTATGTAGCCAAGACTTACTTGAACTAAGGGCAAACCTCCTGCCTCAGCCTCCTGAATGCTGGGATCATGGGTGTGTGCCATGTCTGGCTAAAAAAAGTTATAAACCACACCTATACAAATGATTCTAATCTACACATCCTTATTATCCAATTATTCTGTAACTTCCATTTTAAATTAGGTATAAATTCATACAACTTAATGTATACTTTAGATTTCTCAGCAATGTAAAGCAAATTAATGTTTTAAGAAACAAAGATTCTATGAATTTCCAAAGGATACCAGACTTTGGGCGTTATACTGGAGCTGTACAACACAAAAAACTTAATAGTTAAAGAAATAATGCCTTTGGGATGTATATATGTGATGGCTATAATCACACGCACCTGGGCCTCTTGGTCTCTTTCACGGCAGGACTACTTCTCTTAATAGACTCAGTTTTTTTTTTTTCTCCAAACAGAAATAATCTTCCCTCCATGTAGTAGAATCAATAACTACTCAATTTTAGATTCCAAATTTCTTTCTTAGATAACCCTTGAACAATTATATGAAGATTGGTGTAGGAAGGCATTATCTTTCAGTGATACTGAAAGCCCTGCCCAGTGTAAGATAGCTATATGGCAAAGTCCTGAACAAACTCAAGTCTTTTAAATCATTCTTCCAAACGTACCCTTGCATATAATAAATCATACTATTAAAGAAAACCTTGGGTTGAGGTCTAATGCCCATTCATAATCTGGAAGAGACCTCTAATTCCTGTAAAACTAGTATGAATTCAAAGAATTCTGTATTTCTAGACCCCATGCACAAATTCAGAGTTTTAAATTGAAAGACTTTTAAAATACTTCCAATTCTTAAGATCCTGCTGTTCTGTGTGCCCACCAACTTAGGTACCTACAAATACAAAAAATATGCTCAAACTCTTCTGACTGTCCTCCCAGTTTGTGACCCAAAGTACATCTCTAAAGTTAAGACAACTTAACACATACAATCAGCAAAAACAAATTAAAAGGGGGAAGGGAAGTATCTGTTAATAGTCTACTAACACTCCAATAGGTATTCATTAATACAATTTTTAAAATTACCAGTATCTTTCAATGATTAAAAATCCATATGCTTAAAGGTAGAAAACAATACATGACTTGCGTTCTAAAGATCCACTGATAACTTTTGCTCATTTTGATATCATAAATCAGTTTAACTATGAAGTATCATTTTCAGAGGGTCCTAATATTTATTGATCAATCATCTAAAGTGTTACACATACTTTTTTGATGGATGCCATCTGTTCTTCTCGCCACTCAGGTTTATTTTTCTTTGCATTCATAAAGAATTCACTGACTCTTTGTTCTAGCTGATCCATTGCATCTGACATAAAAAATTTCATATTTAGATAATTGAATTCATAAACAAAATAGACGTATCTCGATTTCAGTAAGAGAAACATCTGACATGTAAGGTACTATTTCACTGGCCATTTACAACGTAAACCTTAATTACTTAGTTTGTTGTCTCTGTTACTTCACAATTTTTTCTAATAATCCAAGGAGAGTCAACAACATAGATAGGATCTGTACCACAGTTTTTGAACAGTATAGGTTTGGGGTCAAAGCTAATGGTATTAAATCAGCTAAATGCGACAAAACACAACTGCTTGTTGAAAATACCAGGAGATAGCCTTACATTTCTTTTAACAAGGAAAAGTGATTTTTAAAAGATTTTAAGCATTTATTTTGGTATAGCACTCCATCATCTTGAAAGTAGTTGGTGCAACCCTTTATCCACTTAATGCACTATTTGATTTATTCTATGTAAAATTTTTCTAAAGGATATACTAAGAATAATTATCTCACTGGACATCAGCTGAAAAAAGAAAAACAAAATGGATTTTGTTGTTATGTAAGTTAAAAAAACTCTCGTACTACAGTCTTCTTTCAAAGCTCTTCAGTGCAAACGAAATAGCTTTATAAGGACTCAGACATCCTATGGTTAATCTTTTAAAAATATTTTTCTTTAAGCATTTCCTACATCTACTTTGTTAATCTGTAATACCTCTTAATTTTAGAAAATTCTACTGAAATTGCAAAAAATTAAAGCTTAAAAAACCTGCAATCTGTATAATCTAAATCCAAATTATAAAAATGTTTCACAATAAAGCTTAAAATGACAATAATCTTTTAAGTAACGCCTACCTTGTTTCAGGTGTCATGCATTCTAATTCATCTATAATATTTCAAATCCTCAGATGATTCTTTTCTTACAATGAAAACTCCCCAGAAGTGATAATGCAGTCAGTTCAATGAGTAAATTAATAATGTACTAAAATAAACTCAGGTCTACCTGACAACAAAGTCTATGCTCAATCCTGCAGAGAATACTACCTCAGGAAATCTTTTCACATTTCAACTCCAACATGCATTATGAGATAGTTGGAAAACCGCCTATTAGATATGATCAAAATATACAGTAAATGCTTAAATGAAAAATTACAGTACAAGACTCACTGCACTTACTTCCCGTTTAATATCCTCCTCACTTGAATACACACTTATCCTATCATTCTAGACACTTTCTGAGGCACTTCTGGAAGCCCTCTTTCATGAGTATCTTTGAGGTGTGATCAAAAATAAGATGAATGCTATTACTGAGTGTCAACCAACACAAAAGCAGGCTTGTAAAACATTTCAGTATGTCTTCATCCACCTTATTCACTGGATCTGGCACTGTGTGACTTCTAGCTCTTCCTCAAAGCCAAAATGACCATGAAACAAGTATTTTGAATCGATTCAGTACATCAATGCAACTACAACCCTGCAACTAAACACACCGTGAAAGAGGACTTACAGAACTGCTTCAGAAAGCAGCAATAACGATGAGATAAGCATGTTCAAGGCAAGAAGGGGTTATTTTGAGGATGACTAATGCCAATGTGTGTTTTACTGCAGTACATTTTTAAATTTAAACACTCATGATATTTTTTTATCACAATCCATACAGATTTCAGACTTGCACACTGCAACAGGCTGGATGACAAGGTGCCCGAACAACTTGACATGAAGCTGAGAAAAATATATTCATGAACCAAAGACACAGATTTGAGTGTGTGGTGGGAGGAATGTAATGGACAAGTTCCCAAACTTATGTGAAGTGGTTCCTGAGCTATCTACTTTCATTCCCTGCTCTATGAAGAAGCAAGGTTAATTCTGGGAAAGTCATTCAACGACCAAGTTATCAGAGAAAGAACAAAGTTCACCAAGGGCCAAAATTTTGCTAATAGACAAGTTTTCTATAAAATCTTATTTCCCTCACTCATCCTGAGAAAATGAGCATGCTGCTGACAACTCAAAGTGTAATTTTCCAAAGTCAGTATGCCAAGTTCACCAGGGTCTCTAAATACTCACATAAAACCTCGCCCTTCTGTTTTCTATCCCTAAAGAAATCCAAACAAAATCCAATTTAACAAAAAGTATGAATGCTGAAATGTAAGTTCCCTATATATAGCTCAGGTGAAAAATCTCAACATTTAGACTGATATCCATTAAAACACACATGGTATCCACGTTCTCGATGAAGGCACGGAAACATGTTTGCACAGGGCCGAAAGTGAGAAAGGAATACCCGTGCTCTGAAGCCTCCTTCTCTTACAAAAGCCCCGAGAAAGTAGAGTGGGAGGAAAATCAGCAGCACAACACAGCGCTGCCCATCTTTGGGACAACTCCTCAGGTGACCCAGAGAGGGACGCGCACAGGCACCAGCCAGCGTCGCGGCGAGCAGGCCCGGGACTGCGCGCGCAGCGGACCAGAGAGGACGCGCCGACTTACTCTGCACCTGCAGGTCCATCTCGCGCATCTCGGTGAAGCGGTCCCTCAGGTCCATTGGAAGTTGCTCAATCACTGTCAAAGAGAGTCCGTCAGAGGGGTGGGGCCAACGGCAAAGTACGCGCTTGCGTCACTGCGTGCGTGCGTGCGTGCGCGGGGGGGGTGAGCCGGCAGCTCACAACGAGGCTGCCAGTTACCGTGAGAAAGAAATATCCCCCGCCTCCCCCTCCCTCCCGCCATCCTGCCTGCCCGTCCACTCGCGCTCTCGCCCGCCCACAGGTCCCACAGGCGGCCGCCGCCAGTGCCACGCACTCACTTTCCAAATAGTCCTCTAGGTACAACATCGCGGCCCTTAGAGCTGGGGGAACGAAGGGGTCCAGGGGTTTATTTGTGTCACTCGCTGTCGCCGGAGTTTTGTCCCTTCCAATATGGCGCCTCCGCTAGCAGCACCCGCTCGACTCCGGCAAAAAAAAAAAAAACAAAAAAAAAAAACCACTTTGGCGCCTGACGGCGCTTGCCTCACCGCCGCCCGGAGCTGCTATTGGCTGGCGGGAGCGGTGGCGTCACGCGTCCGGTGCTGGTCCCCGCGCCTTAGTGGGAAGTGTAGTTTTGTTCGCCCGCTTCGCAGATGGCGGTGCGGGTGGCTCTGCGCGGAAAGACTACAAAAACCAGATGCCACTGCGGACGTGGCGCAACAGACTCCGAAATGCGGTGCCTCTGTTTATTTGTTGATTCTTTGCACAGGGAACGACGGGAGTTGTATGCGCCTCCGAGACATAACTAGGAAAACTTCTCACCTGTTCCTTGCTGCGGTTCCACGTCCCCGCGTTTGTGAGTCGTGGGTTTCAAGGAGTATTTGGCAAATAGTAAAGATTCTAAACGCTAGAATAATCGGCAAAGTTCGGGCCATTCGAATTGTTCAAAGTAGAACTCTGTCGGAATTTACTCTCAGTATTCACTCCAAAAATACGAGTGGGACAACTGATTGGGTTTCCTGTAAGACAGTATCTTGAGACGCTGGAGTGGGTATGCATTTACCTGATTGAAAGGGGCGCGAGCAGTTCTCAGCAGACACTTGTATGCTGGTTTTCGATGCATCTTGACATTGTAATGTAATTATCATAGTACTTATATAAGCATCCACACCCACGCGCCCTCTCAAAAAGTGGCCAATCATAATTATTGAAGAGAACCTTAACAACAAATGAGTTGTGCTAGCAATACCTTCAGGGTATGTAGAATAAATATCCTGTGTTAGAGGACTGTAGTCCTGGACGATGTCTTCTATTTTTTAACTCCTTCCGCAAATGTTTATCAGTAATATATTTAATAGTTCACTGCTGGTCTTATTTTTCTTAAAAACTCTTGCCGTCAATAAATATCGGGTCTTATTCTTTTCTACTTCAATCGCCTCATCTTTCGGAGAAAGTTGTTCCTTAGAAGATCTGTAAGGTATCTTTAAGACTTTCTTATTGTGAAGTGTATTTCTTTTAATTTACCTTTTATGTGTCACTTCTCAAAAGTTACATATACTTCTTAGTCTTAGAAGTTCTGTTCTCTTTTAACCTGTTTTTAAAATTTCTTGTACAAGTTAAACAGTCTACATTCTCTTTTTTAAGTCCAGTGCTGAAAATTGTATGTGTCTTTGTGTATTATTTCTTTAGAAACGGATACTTTTGCTCATGGTGACTGTTTTCTAGATTGTGATTTTCTAGTCTGAATTCATGTTTCTGGTGTTGTAAAGGTGAGGAGTCTTTGATGCTGAAGTTAATGTTGAGGTTTCCTACAGAGTATAGGAATTTGCTTCTGTAAGTTGCTTGGGGACACCATCCACCCTAGGGCTAGATTAAATTCTTCAGTTTTTTATTGTATTGTACAGACAGGTTGAATTTGAGCCTCTAAATCAAATGTCTTGTTATAGTTTCTCAGGGGAGACTTTGTCTTCTCTTTTCTTCCAGCTCCAAGGTAGGCTTGTTCCTTACTGACCTTTGTGTGTATAAGATTTATTTCTCTCTCACCTTTGCACAGGGAATATAGCTTTTGAGGATCCCAGATTTTGTCACCTATTAGACTATTCCTTCTCTACTGGTTCTTGGCTTTATCTTTTGATTCTGGCATGCTACAGAGGAGCTCTAAATGTCCAAAATTTGACAATAATCTGAACAAATGCCCACTTAGCTGTCACATTTCTTCCTCCCTCACAAACCCCTTTTATATCCCCTCTGAGATTTTTTTCAAGGTCCTACTAGGTCACAGATATATTTGGTTTTTTTATTTGATTTTTTAATCCAGAATTTTTAGTTGCTTTCAGCAAGGGGCTCATTCAGAGTTGCTAATCTGGCATACTATTAAAACAAAAGTCTTTTAGTGTAAACTGAGATTCTGGGAGTATTCCATATTAATAAGGAAAATAAAATAATAATTCTTAATTTAGTCAGTGTGTATAAACCCCCCAGAGAAACCAAAAATAAGATGTACACACTGTATATTTCCATTAATGAACGTAACTCTTATTGTTCAGACATCTGTCAGCTTCAGAGAATTCTACTTGCACGTGTATATGAAGCTTCTTACATCTTTAGGTTGTGCAGCCAATGCCCTTTGGAATGATTGTCTGCTAACGACCAATACTTGTTTCTAGACCAATACTTGTTTCTAGGCAGACCTGCATTAATTACAGCCTCTCATATTCATGGAAGGCTAGGCTATCTCTTTATTATATTCCTATCTTCCGCGATCACAGCTTATTGATTAATCAGAGATAGACCAAAGGTAGGCCTATCACATGCAGTTTCTTTGGATATGAAATTAAGAATGAAAAGACACAGAGACAGACAGCATTGTGGCAGACCTGCATTAATTGCAGCACAGTAAATATATTGTCCTCAGGCTTCTGCTGCTGAAAAGCTCCCAGATCCTGAGAAACCACTCTGAAGATACCACCATGTATTACAGCAGCCATTGATATTTTCCTACTAATCTATCCATAACTGTGTAAAGTTTGTAATGTTCCTATCCTATTTCATAAATG